GTTTTATAATAATGAAGTATCAAATCATCTTGGATTAATATAAATTTTTTTATATATGATCTAAGAGTAAAGAACTTTCAATCTAACAGTTGGATTTACAAAATTCATATTTAATATAGAGTTTATATATATATATATATAAACCCTAAATATATATATAGGCGGGTTATAATTATACAGATGTAACTTTTACTAAGTATTACACCGCTCAATAACTCTATATTAAATAGAATTTTGTAAATTCGTCCGTTAAATTGAAAACTCTATATTAAATATGAATTTTGTAAATTCATCCGTTAAATTGAAAGTTCATATCACTTTATATGTGTAAATCAAATTTTGTTAAAATTGAACAACAACTTGAAGGTAATCAAAGTGTTCATATTTTAGTGAATTTTGAAATGAATACATTACTTCAATTTTGTTTTATAAAAATGAAGTATCAAATCATATTGGATTAATATAAAATTTTGTATATATGATCTAAGAGATATGAACTTTCAATCTAACGGTTAGATTTACAAAATTCACATTTAATTTAAAGTTATTAAGCGGTGTAACACTTGATAAAAGTTACAGTGCTCAATAACTTTAAATTAAATTAATTTTGTAAATCTAACCGTTAGATTGAAAGTTCATATCACTTTTTTTTGGTTCGTCCCTGGAGTATCCACCGCCGACATCAGTGACTAATCTCCTCGCTACGTTGGAGGCACCTCAAAGGGTGGGATAGCTGGCCCCAAGATTTAACGCGGCTGCATACACATGGCAGGATTCGAACCCCTGACCTTGCTTAAGCATGGATCAACTCCTACCGCTGAACCACACGCTTGGGGTTAAAAGTTCATATCACTTTATATGTGTATATCAAATTTTGTTAAAATTGAACAATAACTTGAGGGTAATCAAAGTGTTTATATTTTAGTATATTTTGAAATAAATATATTACGTTAATTTTGTTTTATAAGAATAAAGTATCAAATCATCTTAGATTAATATAAAATTTTGTATATATGATCTAAGA